AACATCTTCTGAGCATTAGCAAGATGGTGTCATTCGCTAGCCCGAGAAGATGAGATTGAGGCCAGAAACGGGAAAAAAAAAAAAAGTCACAAATTGTCTGTTGTTAGTATCATTTGTTAGGTTTGATTTTTCGGTGAGGATTTGTCCTGATATCCTATCACGAATGAAGAATTCCTTCTCTTCTTCATTTTGCCTGTGTGGCTCAAACGTGGCTCGTGCAAGCACTGTGCTAGAGGCTGCAAGCATGATCTGCCCGCGGCCGAATGGGACTGCATATGCCAGTACATTATAAAGGCAATTTAAAGAGGAAATAGAGCATCTTGTACGGCTTGGAAACTGGAGTGATTAAGAGCAAATGGGATGGTTATCTCGTAGGAGTACTTGGGAGTCCCATTGCAAACCACTAAATGGCTGCAGGGAGTCAGGGGAGAACGCGAGAGGCGAGGCAGAGCCCGCGTGTTGCCCTCGAGCCTCTCCCACCGCGTGACGCCGGGAGCCCTGGGCACGGGGCAGGGACGTGCCGCTGTCGCACAGGCCATGGGACAGGCACGCCTGGAGAAGGCACATCTTCAGAAAAAATTTAGAAAGTCTTTGGAAGATTTTCAGAAAGCCTTTAGTAAAAGACTCTTGGGGAGGCCTGGGCTGGCTGATGAGAGCAAAGCAGCCGCGGGGGAGGCCAGGGCACTTCCTCCGTCCCCGGAGCCGGCGCAGCACAGGCAGCACGAGCTCCCCATTTTGTCCTGCTGAGAGAGGCCGAGAAAGCCATTTTGCTCTTCTTGAGCAGTGCATTAAACCTCACACCCCAGCTGCCTCTGATACAGCTGCCGCACACACAAACCAGATGGAGACCTCAGTCTTTCCGCATAAGCTGTCAAATAAAAGTTTATCGTGGTCACTGCAGTGATAAGACGAAGCCTTAGAGCATCTCAGGCCCTCTGCAAAGCTCTTTCCCATTAGCTATGCCTGTCCCTGCTGTCAGTCTTGCAAAAATAACCCTTTGGGGCAAATTTTAGGACGGTTACTCCCAGAATTGTAACCCTCCGTGTAAGCCTGCGAAGGAAGCTGCAAAACTTCATCGCAAAAGTGTTTTCGCTCCCAAATCTGTTCCTGACCTCTCTACATTTACTGTACATGGGAGTGAAATTCTCTTCGACCTAATTACAATTCCCACTCGGCGTTTTGGCACTCGAAATTTAGACATAGAGCTGCTTAAAAAAAAAAAACTGTGTCAGATGCACTGTGGTCACCTCTGCCATTCAGTGTGGAGAAGCGCAGACAAGGGCTGCAGGCACCAAGATCATTTTACATTTAAGCCAGCGTTTAATTCTCCTGATGGCACCAAGACTGCAAAAGCTCAGAGCCTTACCCCAAGGTTAAGAGAGCTCCTAAATACAGAGTCTTATTGTCGACGAGAGGGTAAAAGAACAACAGAGTCGCTGAGAACTGTTCTTGAAAAACATTTATTTCTTTAATGGGTTTACAGCACTGACTCCCAAGCCCCAGTACAACATGATTTTCCCCCACACAAAACTCTGGGGAAAATTCCCTTGATGGAAAAAAAAGCCATACAAAGACCCCCCCCCCCCAACCAAACAGTTTGGTACCAACAAGCTGTTGAATGCTCTCCCCAGCCTGGGAGAGAGCTGCCCTGCTGCATCCCTGCAGGGTGGTTCACTGCCCAAAGGCCCCAAACAACTGAAGACCTGTTCAACAGCAAAAAAAAAAAGGAGGGGGGGGAGGCAGAGAAGGCTGCTAGGATTCAGCAGCTGCTATTTTTGCAGACATTTAAAAAGGATATCTACGCATTTCAATTTCTCCTCCTGAGCCCCAGCGCTAGGGAAGTCAAATACAAACCCAGAGACCAACGTACACAAAATAGTGAACAAATGTCCAGACGTTTCTAATCCCCCCCCCACCCCGTTTACTGTGCCATGATAACTTCAAAAAACAACAAAAACCCCACATTCAAATCATGTTGGATCTAGTTTTTAAGAGGGAGGGGTGGAGATGCAGCACACAGCATAGCAACTGTCAAGCAATTTTTAAGGCAAATTTATTCCCATTTATTCAGAGTTTTTTGTTTGCTTTGTTTTGAAGCTGTTAAGTAACATTATCTCAGCTGGACATTAAGCTTAGGCAATTTAATCAAAGTTTCGGTGAAGTCAACTCATGTTGATCTGAGCCCAGAAGATCAAAAGTATTATTCCCGAGAATATCAATGAGAACAAATTAAAAACATTAAAAATACTCCAGATGATACACAACTCTCCCAGAATCTTCATCCCCTCAAAGGCCAGGTTGAGCCCAACTAAAACATACACACATACGAAGAAGGACACAGTGGCAAGCCTCTACAAACACAATGCTGAATACAGACCAAAGCAGAGCCGAACCTAAATTCCACAGATGCGAGAGCGTGGACAGAGTTATGAGTAAAAAATGGGGGGGAAGAAACAGAACCCCAGAGAGGGAGGTTTCGTTAGATGGAACGGAAAATAAAAGTCTGCCGTATGCAAAGAAAGGGAGCTCTTGGGTGCACGCACGCAAAGGTGGGTGCCTTGCAGTTGCCTCATCTCTCAGTTGTGTTAGTTTGTTGTGCCTTTCCCCTCCCTTTGAGATCCAGGTGGTGGTGCCAGGAGGTTAGTGCGTTTACTCAGTCTGTGCGTCATAGTTAGCCCCCCCTGCTTTCTTCAGCTCGTTCTTGATGTAATCCTCATCCAGCTCTTTGTGGTCACTGATCACAAATTCTTTGGCAAAGTTCTGCAAGAGATAAAGAAAAAGCACGTCAGAAACTGGCATACTTGTCCACGTACTCATGTTAAGAGGGGTTATCTGGCTTCCCCGGCTGTATAAGCTGCATACCTTTATCTACTATGATAGCGATGATAAACAGAAAGCTGTGGATGGGAGAAGACTATAGTGATGGTGAAACACAAGACTTAGTTTGTAGACGTGTTTTGTGTCTGCTTCTGTGCTCACTGGCTGCAAGACCTAATCCTGTCCCATGCAACAGCTCTTCCTGGAGATACATGCATAGGCTAGGTTAGGTCAAGTTTCCTAAACACTAGGTAAAAAGGAGTAAATAAGCATACTTCGGCAGATTTCCTGGCCCCTCCTCCGAACTAGCTGACCTTTAAGGACACACTTCATTAATATTCTGGGAAACCGCAGGGCAGCTATCTAGCTATTTGCACTCTCTTTGCAACTTAGGTTAGCTGCACAAGTCCCAGGCAGCATGCTGTTATGTGATGGGGACTTTGTGAACAGAGAAGACCAGAACAGATGACTGCGAACGGGCTCCCACAGTGCCTTGAAGATCCTTGTCACTACACTGTCACTGCGGCGAAGGATTCGTGCCTTGGGAGGAGCCGTCTCTCCTGCCTCAAAGCAAGGGTGGCAGGCATGTGTGTACACAGACTTTTAAGCAAAGAGGCACATTTGCTTCTTGCTTTCACATTTTCTTCCCTTCCTAACCACAACTGAAGACAGTTCATGTGTCTTTCCCTTCTCCCTCCAACCCAGAGATTTTAGACAGCATGAAAGCCCTAGGATCCACTGCGTTCTGCATGGCCAGGGACACATGGCTGACAAAAATGAATAAAATCCCAACTGTCTGGCTGCAATGTGTCCGGAAAGCAGCAACGGGTAGCGAGCAGCCAACAGGCCACGGAGGCAGCCTGGCAGAACGAGAGGCTGCTTTGGGAGAGAAGCAGCCGTCTTGTTTGGGTCTCCCCAGCGCTGGAACAGCCCCGGCACAAACGTGACCGGGGGGGGGTTTCTAATTGGTTTCAGACTGAGCCACGGGAGAGCTCTTTATTTGGCAGCATCTCAAGCGCCTTAATTTGGGATCACAGCTGGGTAAGGGGGGGTGGGGGTGGAGAAGGCTTCAGCTTGAAAGAGCCTCGCCACCTCTTTCATGCGGTGGAAAAATGGAAGGGAGAGCAGAGCAGCTCCCTCCCCCATGCCGGTCTCCCAGGCTGCAGCTGATCCTGTTTCACACTGCAGGAAATCCTCCGTACTGACGAGTTGCTTAGGGAAAAAAAAAAAAAAAAGAAAGCTTACAGCAGCTACGAGAAGCCCTATCTGCTCTGTTTTTGTTTATCAGCACCTAGAAGAAGTCCTAGGAAACAACAGTGGCTTCCCAGCACCATTTTGCTCCACACTTGCAAAGTCCGGTTCTCTGGAGTCCAGAGAGATAGAACTTGCACTTGTCCATGTCTTAGCAGGGTTTGGGGTGGGGGGGGGGAAGGAACTGTTTGCTTTGGAGAAGGTCCTTTCTGAGGTAGGAAACGAAGAGGCAAAAACCCCAAAACATCAAATTTTGGTCATGCTTACAAGGCTGCAGCCAAAGTGGAAGGAGTGTTATTCTGAAGACAACTCAGCTGATAAATCAATAGACATGTCCTACTTGCAAATATCCTGTGTGAGATCTTTGGAAAGCTCAGTTCTTGCTAAGACAATTTCCACCAATGATTTGGTGCTCATTGAGGTGTGCTTCATATGATTTTTGAGCTGAGCCTTTTCGATTTCTTTTCTACATGCTAAGAGGTTTAAGAAGTCTGCCCCATCTCAGGAAACACAGGTTTTCCAGGACTATGTAACTAGAGTACTGGCCTTTGCCTTGACTTTAGGGAAAACTGAGGCGGGTCCATAAAATCCTTTCTGATAGTGATTCCATGAAAAATGTGTGCATTTTATAAACCGGGGGGGGGGAGAGTTTCCTTCACTGCCCAGTCTGCAGATTCAAGGCGATTCTGAAATTAAAACTGCATGTGCCCTCACGCATGAACAAAGGAGAACTAAATTACACACAACACAAAATAATTATAATGACTCAAATGTCTTCTCAATTAAGCAGTCATCCAGATGATTCCAAGGTGATGATGGGCATCAGCCACTATTTTCTGCCAATATCAATGGAAGGTTTCAGTACCAACCAACACCTTGGAAGGTTTCAACAGCTTCCCCTTAGCAGAGTGATATCAGTTGGCCAGATGGGTTATATTCCCAGCATGTTCTGCCACTCTTAAATATCCTCTTAGCTGACTGGGCCACCTCTTGTGCCAGATTTCTACCTTCTCAGTGCAATCTAGGTCACTACTATAAATAACTCTTTACCTTATTCCTTTCCATCGGCAAGCACTGTCAGGGGCTTGAATGGTTCTTTGCACTGACTCTTACCCACTCTGATGGGTCAAGCCTGACCCCAAGGGGAGAAGGTGCTTCGGGTGAGTTTGCTGCCTGAGAATCCTGATTTTAATATCCCGCTTGACTCTTCTTCAGTCATAGCCTCACTCATCACCCTAAATTAACTCTTTCAGCTCTCTGGGGTTAAGATTTGTAAAGACTTGTTCAGGGCTCAGATCCTGAGATGCAGGAAGCCATATAAGTATTTTAGAGACAGGTGAAACCATCTGCTGCTTCCTGTGTCATCAAGGCAGAAGACAGGAGATACTCCACATCTCAGACCTGGAGATTAGACACCCAGGATCAACAGCAGCACTTTTCAGCTCAGAGGACACCTTGTCCAGAGTTCGCTCCTTTTCTGTTTCCTCTGAAACAGCCAGAATACACAACAACTCGCAACTGATTTAACTGTTCATGTTAGCTAAACCAAGCAGTGGTCTTTATTTGACACAACTATCACCTGCACAGTGTGAATCATAGCAAAATTGGCTCCTACCAAGCACCAGGACTGTAAGGTCTTGGGTTCAAATGGCTAACAGCACTGCCGACAGGCATTGCAATTTCTAGTCTAGCACCAGTTTTTCCTTCTGCCCTTAGGAGCCTCTTGCTTTTGGGGGTGGGGAAGTCCCTGGTTTCTCTCCTCTCACGCATACCATTTTCTAATTCCTTTCAAGTGAACTGCAGAACAGTTGTGTGTGTGCCTAAGGCACAGTGCAGATCTCTGGCGCTCGAGCCCTCGCTTTACTGACAAGCATCTTCATTTTGCCTCCTCCACTTCCTTTTCGCCTCTCTTCCCCCCATCCCCAAGCTCCTTACAGCAGCAGCAAGCCCTGCGAGTGAATTCTAGCCTTTGTATTCACCCCAGAGTCACCAGCGGCCTGCGGATAACAAAAACAATGATGCCATTTATCTTTATCACTCTCTCGACACAACAGTAACCACAGAGTCTTTGCTTTGCCTCTTAAATCATTGAACATGACATGCAAAGCAAAGTTTACGTAGGGCTCTCCAATATACCCATCTAAAATACGCTTCACTTTTTGCCTGAGTAGCAGAGGTCCCAGTTTTGCAGTGCAAGCCACCGTGTCCTTGGCACACCTTCCAGCTGCTGTGAGACACCACGGCAAGAAAGGACTCCAACCACGCAGGTCAGGTTGCACAAGCAGAGCCTCCATGTCTCACTGGGAAGCAAGAAATCTGTGCAGCAAGCTCAGCCCAGCCTTTCTCTTCCAGACAATTTTATGGGGGGAAAAAATAGGGTGGAGTAGATTTTCTTCCTATTCCAGGCCCTGAATGTTTAGCATATGGGGCCATAAAATCTTTCTAAGCGGGCCAAGGAAAAATCTGCCTGGTGCAGATACTGTACAAGAAAGCTCTGCAGAGGCCCATATAAATCCCAGCATGGATGGGCCCAAAGCCAGAAGGAGAATCCATGTATTGTCTACAGACATATGGGTTCTTAGCAGCTAGGGACGGTGCCAGGTAGTCAAGCAGCTTCTTGTTGGTTTTATTTACGTTGGGAGCCCTTGCAGCAGCCTCCACTGCTGGAGGATCAAAATCCTCAGATCCACCGTGCAGAATTTCACCCTCCCATATACCGACCATCTAATGTCCAGTGCAGAGGCAGGACAGAGGAGACCACATCGCCCATTCCACCACAGCGTGGGATCTGAGACCTTGGGTCATGGGGATAAAAGGCCAGGCCCTACGGCTATATGTTCTAGCAGGATTTCTCTGCGTTTAAGGACAGCTATATAGTGACAAGCCCCTATAGCGATACAGCCCCACCACCTCTGCTCTAGTCTGGCTGCAGCTAACGTGGTCCAGCGGTCAGACTCCAAGCTAGCAGCAAAACCCCCTCTCTTCAAATTTACTCTTCGCCAACTTTCACACGCAGCAGTTCTAGCCGTTAGGAGAAGGCAATGCTGATCGCTGGCAAACACTTTTCTCAGCAGTGAAAACTGTGTTTCAGTTGATCTCTAAATTCCCCCTATCTGTGCTGCATCCCACTGGAAAAGTCACATGTCCGTGTGCCAGAGGTGGGGTGATGGGAGGCTCTTTATCCTGGCCTGAAGAAGTTATGTATAAAGTTGCCACCTTCACTAGACTAGGGCTAGGACTTCTTGTAAATCCATATCCATTTGCTGTGGTGGTTATAGTGAACCAGAATAGGAAAAACAGTCAAAAGGAACCATTTTGTTTGCTTTCCCAGCAGTACCTCTCTCCATTACTCACCTTCTTGACAGATACTGCCTCAAAGCCACTCTAAGTGACACAGCCGTTACCTTATAAGCTTGATTTTCTGACTGCCTCTCACATAACTATTGAGCCATTTTCTGCTCAGACCACTGTACTGACCCAAGAAACCCAACGCACACTCACAGAGTTACGTGCGCTGCATCTGCCCCAAGACCAGGGACAGTAACCCCATAAGTGGGTCCTTCCTCCTTAGGGAGCAGCGCTAGTGCAGTGAGGAATCCAGGGGGAAAGAGGTGAACAGAAAAGGTCTGACTGTGAGCCCCAAAGTGGGAACTCAGTAAAGTTGTTGGCATCACTAAAGCCAGGCAAATTCCTCACCAAAAATAATAATGAATAAAATGCCAGAGATATTTGCTTACAGAAACAGAGCTGTTTTACCCTGAATACAATTTAGGCAAATAATAGAGCACATGACTTTGTGGGGGTAGGAGTGCTGGAGAAAACAGAGAAGAGGCAAAATTCATGGAAAATGAGAGACAAAGTGGCAAAGGTTGGGCAGTCCCTCTGCTGAGGCAGCCCTGCAAGAGAACTCGGTCTGGTCAGGAGAAAGACCTCCCTGCTGCCTCGTGAACGGTTAAAAGCACCTGGTAGGAAAGGCAGTCATGAAGGGTAACAGGTTCGTGGAGGGGAAGCAACCCTGAGAGAGAAACAAAGTCCTGTTTTCAGTTCTTCAGCATTTACATCAACACCAGGCGACTGTAGCACCGACGGCCATTTTGCATCAGTGCAAGGACTTCCCCCTCGAGCCCCACAGCCATTTTGCCTAGGCTTATCCTTAGTCAAAGGAAAGATAAATTCTTCTTCCCCACCCTACCCTTGCTTCCCACATGCTTGATCCAAGTCTTCTAGATGAGGTGAAGAAGGAAGGATGGAAAATAAATGGCCATGAAAAGTGCTACTGACTGAACACGAAATGCATTTTCCTACAACACAAAATAAATGCAATAAATGCAAACCCTGTCTTCCTGCAGTGTAAAAGAGGTAATAAGGATATTCCGCAAATAAGCAAGAAGACCTGAGTCTCAGCTTGTTCAGATTAGGGGAACTAGGGTTATTTGCACCAGTTGAGATTTGTCCCTGTAACTTTACAGTTATTACAGCTAAAAATCAATTGTCCTTTCCTCCTGGGAGATTTTCTGGCAACCTCTGCCGCTGACTATCAGCATCACTTCCCAGCACCTCCCTATAGAATTCGCAGCACCTGCTTCCTCTTCCAAGGGAGGAATCCAAAAGCAAGGGCAACCCAGTTCCTCTCCCCTTGCTTTATAACATTGCATCCTTTTGTTCACAAACCCATAATCTCTTGAACAGCTAATATCCATTATGTTTTCCTGATGGCAGGTGCTTCTAAGAGGCTGTTAATAATCACCACGTGTGAAGAGCCTTTATTCTACAGATGGGGCACGGTGGAGTTTGCTTGCTAGGCAGTATTCAAGCTGACTCCCTTTCACTTTGAGTGTCTCGGCAGAAGAGCAGTGTTTATTGGCGTTTGTTCAGCTTTGGGCAGAGCTCAACTGCAACTCGTCAATGCATCTACAAAGTAGTAGAGAATATAAAGCAGGCGTTCACCTCACACTGGAGCTTTGGTCTTGAAATAAAGAGCCACAGTGAGTTTTCTGCAAATGTTATAAGCTAGCGAGCACTCTTTGAGTTTTACTGAGGGCTTCTCAGACTGAAGAGCTGTTGTTTTGGAATCCCAACCAATCGCTTCTATAGATCATGAAAACCGAAGCTGTTATCTGCTGTACAAAAAAGCCTCCTTGTGCCACACTTCTTTGAAGGACAGCCACATCGCATAAGGTAAGTGCACCTATGGGTCACACATATAACTAAACCTCCAGAGAGCCAGACTGCTCTAAAAGCCTAGAGGCTCCTCAGGGTTTGTTAAAAAAAAATTTTTCCCCCACTTTGGAGCAATAATTACCCCAAATAATGAACCAACATTGAGTCAGATTTGTACTTTCTTATTACAGCAAATAACCAACTGTATTTTTCTATGTGTAACTCACATCCCAAATAATCCCTGCAAAAATCAGAGGTAGTGAGGTGACTGGGAATAAACTTTGGAAGATGAAGAGCAAGAGACCTTTTAAGAGAGAAGTAGCACTGGGATAAACTTCTGTTACTAAATTGCAGGATTTCTTGTTTTCTTTTGTTTTTATAGATTACCTGCAAGATTTTACTCATATTCAGCTCCACTGAGAGGTTCAGTTGCACATGTAGATAGTTGTCTCAGTCACTATGTTCTGGGAGCATAAACTCACATCCTTTATTTTATTTACATTAGTTCAAAGACAGACGGTCAGCCATAAACTGAATGTGTGTGAAAAGGCTGCCAAAGTTTGCAAAGCAATGCTAGTTACTATCTGCTCTCTCTTTGTCTGACCAGGAACCACAGCATCTTGGAAATAGGGTGTTTGTCCTGTTAGGTGCCTCTACACTGAAAAACAATGAATCAGAAAAGTCTTCATAGGGGAACTGGCTCTAATTGTGCCACTGGTCGATCTGTATAGTCCTGGGTTACTTCTTCATGGATATCCATTAATATCACAACAGGATATGGGATGCACTCATTCATGGTTGTGTGAGATGCTCACAAAGACATCTGCACAAATAGCCTTAATTCACCTATAAAGGAACTGTTTCAGATGAGTTGTCAAGATAACTTCTTAAGGGAAATGTATCCCCATTGACCTTACATTTGAAAATATTTTAGAACAAGTTATAATTAGGGTGGCTAAATAAAAATGTATTGAACACAAGTTGCATTGTCTTCATATTTTAGCAGCGATTAATTGGAATGTGAATGCTTTTAAGTAACCGCCAAGGATAGCTAATGTTCCACCACATTACCAACTCACGTAGATTACTAATCTAACATGAAACAAATGAAATTGCAGATGATATGTAACAAAACTGAGGGACAGATCCTAGAATGGCATTTAGGAATGTTATTCAAATCAACAGGAATCAAGTGTCTAAACATATTTTTAAAAATCTGAGGCTTAGTGACTCATGAGTCATTCATTAGTACTCTATAATTTTATCTCCCATTACACTTAAGCAGCTTCAGCTGCTTCACATGAACAGAGGTTTGCTTTTCTATCTATCAGGTGCCATGAAAGTTTCTTTTCAGAATGGACCCTTCTGTATAGTTACAATTTTGAAAGATTTAGCACCAATGCTTATCTCCCGGAAGGAATATGAATTTATTATATTCTTCATTCTTCTTATCTAAAAATAATCTTCTATATAGTAGAAGTTATCCAATGAACCGAGGGAGCCTTCATTCTCCATATTATCCTTTTTGAAGAGTTCTTTATATAGGCAAGAGCAGAATTATTGAGGAGGATATTTCAATATGCAGCCTGTTCTCCCAGCACGGTAAGAAAGATCATTTCTCAAGCATTGGAGAGTTGGCACTGGATTTCGTTGAAAGAGCTAATCTTGCTATAAATACTTCTTCAGAGGAAACATACGCTAAATGTTAATGTCCTCTCAGTTGGAGTCAGGCACCCTTGCTTTCCAGCAGCAGTTCTTTGTGGCATGCCACAATTCCCATCTCTCACAGTAGCTGTTTGTTTTCCCGAGCTTTAACGTTCACTGAGCTTGAGGCCTGATGGCCCGAGCCCCGTGCCTCCACGCCCTGGTAGGCCTTGAAACAGTTAAATGATATGCTCGGTTTGGGCCGACAAATTCAAGTGAAATCCTTTCAAGGTGTGCACTAAGCCCATTTCTCTTTTTCTCGGATACGCCCAATGACAAACAGAAGACTATTCAAATCTAGTTACCTATTAAAAGCTGTTAGTTAATTGGTACCGATAGGGACTTCAGATTTCAGCTGATTGTATCCACGAATTCACTGTGCAGAGACAAAAGGCCTCAGGAGAAAAATTACACCAACGCGTGGGTTTCCCTGGTTAACTTTACCTGCTTAACTTAATACTGCATTGTTTCCTGTCATTCAATATTACACTATTTGCATATTGGGGAGGGAGGAAGTGAAACATCTTGACGGAGACAAGGAGGGGAATGCGTATATTCCCTGTTCGTGAAATAGTTAAGACAGCTTTAAGCCCAAAGATGCTGCTTTATGCCAGAGCGCTCAAGGATAGATGTTAAGTCTTCCCAGTAGGAAGAGAGGCAATAGGAAACTCTGTTCCTTTTAAAGGACTAACTACTAAGTTGAAAGATGATCTGATCCTTCCCCCTCTCTCACCTCCTGCTGATGTCCATAGAGCTAAAAGCACGAGAACTGAGGGTTAGAAGCAGAAGGCAGAGGTTACCTGTACTACTTCTTTGACCAGCGTCTTGTCAGTCCCAGTTTTGGCTCTCTGCAGGCCACTGACACTCTCTCCAATCCAAGTGATGAGGGCAAACTTGACTCGCTTGCTCATGGCATCGCCGGTGGTAAATCGGACAAAACCAAACAATCGAACATCATCTGGAGAGACAAAGAAACAAGGAGAAAGTGATTAAAAGCAGAAACGTCCTTGCCCCAATCTTTTTTTTGGGTGAGAATATTGCTCCCAACTTAATGATCAAGGCAGGCACACGCTACTGAGTGTGTGCTAGGATCCCTGTGGGTAAAGTGGGCAATACAGGGGCACTGCACACCTGCCCTTGGCTTGCAAGATGTGCTTTGCCCGTGTTAGGTCTGTGCCTTCCTAGGGAGCTCTGAGTGACCGGGACGAATCTGGCTCTGCTGGCTGCATCATGCCACATTAGTGTGCTGCTGGTAAGTTTGGAAAGGACTACAAAGAGTCAACTGGCAGTTCAGGGGCACCGAGCTAACCCAGTGATACGTCCAGCCAGATCATTCATCTGCAGGTCACTGGTCAAGAAGGAAAGAAAGCGGTTATCCAGCCACTCTCCTTCTTATAGGATAGCAAGATTAGGATCACATTTTATAAAATATACCCAGAAACCGGCCACCACGCAAATCTGATCCTTTCCCCTTCTTCCCTTCAGCAACATTTTTGGCTCCCTTGCAGAATGAGTTTATAAGGGGTGAGGGAGCAGGAGCAAAAATCATTTGCAACTACTTCCCCAGATGTGCTTTTCTACTCATTTCTAAGATTTGTAGAGAAGGAGGAAGATCAGGTCTTGGATTTTAAAACTGTCCTAATCCTTGCTTCGCAGCTGGTTTCTGCTATATCAGGCTAGACTAGAGTTATTTAGTCTGGCTATATGTGTAAAAACCTTGTAAACTCCTTGTCTCGGAGTTTTTTCTTTCATTGCAGGATGACTCATCCACCAAGGCAGTAGGATGCCTTCATGATCGCAAGCACTTATAAGGCCTGTGATAGCATCCACTCATATCCTCAGTCTCTTCTGGCAGCTTGCAGGATGCTGAAACCTACAGCTAGGATTGTGCAGAAACGCAGAGCAGATGGACAGTTGTGCAATCGTGGAATATACCTAATCATAGCTGCTTCATTTCTGCCACTGAAGACCTTTCCAATGAAGCAAGATGACTCAAAATAGAAGAATAAACTTGCTGTTTGAAAAGAATCATGTTAATCCTGGTTATACTTGTTGTGACCAGTTCAACATGTCTTATATTTATTTGCTGTCTTGATTGCTTGACAGGTGACAACACAGTCTCCAAGTGTGGTAACGTGGTCACTAACATCACCTTCATTTGGGTCCATTACAGCATTCTCCATAAATGGTCAGGACAGCCCCAAGAGCCCTGGAGATAGGGAAGAAGCAGTTCTATATTGTCCAGCCTCAGAAAATAAGCTGCTAGAAATCTGTGCAGAAGAGTGGGATGTTCTCTGAGAGCTGGCAGGTCTCAGTGCTTTTTAAACACTATGTTTTGTCAAAGCCTGAATAAGCAGAACTATCTCTGATGAAAGATACTATCTTTCCACGTCTTAAAAATCCCATCCATCCCCTCCATATTTTGTTCTCTATATACTTTTTTGCTGCTGAAAGAGAAGTATTGGGGAAAACTGGAAAATGGGAGGGGGATGACGCTGCAAGAGTGTGTAAAATAAACTCCACTAAGAATTAATTTTTTTTTAAAAAAAAGAGAGATTGTCAAAAAAAAAATACAGGCAGATGGGTCTCGAAGCAGAAGAAGAACCATACGTATCAAAAGTGCAGGCAAACAAAACTTCTCTCGCAGGTGCCCTGTTACTGGCAAGTATGAGAAGCTGATGGTGAGGACGCACATTCCTGACAGTAAATCCTCTCGCCAAGATTGATTAGAGCCGTAAATGAACCGACAGCCAGGAAATACCCAAGGTGAAGAGAGACTGTAAATCCCCAAACGTTACTATTAACAGTTATAGGAAAAAAAACCTTGCTTTCCCAGCTCTGACAGTAAAGGAGGCCACGTTTTGCTAAGAACTGTGCTGTGGTTCCTGTGGGAACACAGTGATAGAAGGCAATTTAATGTCATCAAGTCCTGGCCCCTACTATACTGTAACCGTGTCACCATCCTTGTCATGGACAGATCACTTTCCACCTTGAGTATGTAGGTTTTTCAACCTTGCTGCTTCTACCAAAGGCTATTGCAGATCCTGAAGACTGCTTTGGAGTAGGTCCCTTTATATAGATAATACGAAGATATAATGAATAGGAAGAATTCCAAGTCTTTGTGCAGTGCTTCTTGACAGCAACCTGGAAAGGAGGCTGAAGGAGCAGCTTCATCAGGGCACCTAAGAGAGCCAAAATTAGCTGTTCCTTGTGGGCTTTTATCTTTTAGATCACCTTACAGCTTGGTGAGTCTGAGCAACTGTTACCTCATCATGTTAAGTCCTGATAAGTTTAATGAGCAACTGAGGTTAGACTTAGGACTTTGAGTCACAATCTTTGGCAATATTTCCCCGGGGCACGTTTACCTGTATGGGCTCGAAAGGTTACACCCAAGCTGGGTGCTTTCTCTTCCTGTCTCCCCTTAGAGGTTATATCCCCACAGTAGGCAGCTCCTCAGCCGCCACAGTTTTCTGTCCTCTGTACTGAATATAAATTATGAACGTGTGATGCTTTAACTTAATGTGCCAGGTTGTGAATTGCAGTGGCTGAGGCAGAAAAAGCCAAGAGGGAACGTGAAATAGGGCTCTTAACAATTAACATGTCTCTTTTTCTAATAGTGCAATAGGAACAGGCTGGAGTTTTTTTCCAGCAGTAGTGCAGCCTGTGTATGCTCCAACCGCTGGTCTGAATCCCTGAGCAGAAGTGGTTGGGTTTCACAATTAGTCTGAAGCACGTTCAGAGCGAGAACAGGATCGAAACGCAAGAGCTTTTATACTCACAGATTTCCTCTTTCACAGTTAATCCGCTCTGCCCTGACAGATCACCTCACCGTGCTGGAAGTCACCGGTGCCATCAGTGCCAGCTCCACTAGAAATCTCAGGACGTCCACATCCTCCCCCTTCTCCTCATTTTCACAAACAGAAATACTTATGCTGGTCTTAGGAATTTGCTGGGTGTCGGGAGAGTCTAACAAATCACAGAGACAGCAGATTTCCTCTGAAAGAGGAAATCCTGCCTGGCTCTACAAAACCACTTTCCTGGTTCCTAAGCCATGAATTTCAGGGCAGAGAGAAGCAAATAACGCATATTATTAATAGAACTGGATGGAACAGAAATAGCAGCTTTATTTGAGAGGGTTTCACAAGCTACAAACAGCAGAAATTAACAACATTAATTCCTACTAATGTCACTACTCCTTCAACTGCAAGCAGCGGTAGGTGTTATACAAACTATGAAAAGTACAATGAATGCCTTAATGGACATTGCTTAGTATCTTTCTCCAAACCCCTTACTTATCAGTAAGGAAGGATTTTCCAAATATACTGATTAAAGTGCTCTTGGCTGTCAACAAAGCCGGATGCCAAGCTGCAGAGATTTCCTTGATTGTATTCCCCTTTTTTTCTTCTACCCAGACCCTTTGATTCAGCTGCACTAAAAAATTCCCCGTTAGCTTGAAATGCACTGACTCATCAACAAAAGATATGAGCTGCAAGAAAGAAATACACTATCGAAAGCTTCACAGTTCTTAGTCTTACAGCTGGGAACGGCCAAGTGAGAGACATGCTGAGATAAGGCCACCAATCCGAGCTTCATCTGCCTGCTAAATCGAGGTCAGGCACAGGAAGGTATCTGCTAGAAAGATCTGCTTTTGTGTTTTGCCCAACACTGAATTACCAATAGCGCGTGACAGATTTCAGCAAGGATTTCTTTTGTTGGTTTCAACGGGAATTTATTCCTTTTAGGATTAATTTGTAAATTCTCCACCTCTTCAGCCACCCAAACTAGCTTTAGTCACCTGGTTAGGAGTGCCGACAGAAAATCGTCCCTGACTATTGCACTGGCTTTTCCATCTTCTACGCTCCAGTCAATCCTGGATGTGGTGGGGGACTCTCAGGCCTTGCTCCAAAGCCCTTGAAAATAGGGCTGCAGAGCACACTGCAGGGGACTGCAGCCTGGCCATAGGCCCCATTGCCTGCTTTCGGGGTTAACTATCCCTGCTGAAGGAGCAAGGAGCATGTGCGGTCAACAACGGTAGCCCCAGCCCCAGTGGTCCTGTATCCGCCTCTCTCCTAAACTGGGTTTGCTGCAGTGCAGAGTGGGAGGAAACTGGGAGCTACCATCCAGCTCATCTTTGTTCTTCTTGTCCTAAGGAAGGAAAGATTTCTTCAGAGTCGGCCAGAAGTGAGAGGCCAGACAGGCTCCAAACAAAGAGCACGCAAAAGATAAAACTCTCTTTACTTACTCTTGTGCCTTTATCACAAGATGGTAAAATGCAGACCTACAGCCATGCTATTTTGTTAAGCATCACAAAACTAAACTGCATCTAGATAGCTACAGTTCCAGCGTAGACCTTGAGCTGATGAGTTACTCCCATAAAAGTTAATGAGAAAACTCCCTAAGACAGCCTCCCTCCCAATCCTAGGGACAGCCCCAGCAGCAGCTCCAGCTGGCAGCCAGGAGACAGCTGTCAAATCCACTCAATGCTGCTGGAGCCACCACTGCCCCAGCCAGGCCCAAGGGACAGGGAAACTCCATAGACAAGGACAGTGCGAAATCCCCATAAACCATGGTTGTCCCTAGGTCTTCCTTTCAATATATATACGGGAAAGCCGGGAAGATGAACTTTAAAAAGAAAGAACAAAACTAGTAAGAAACTGATTTACAAAGCCATTTTAGCACCTAAAGATGTAGGCAAATACAGAAAAGCATCTATCTCATTATACGTCCTCAGGTATTTTTACAAAACTCAGACGCTTTCCCACAGCTTGAGATACCAACATAATCTTGATGATCTGACTCTTGCCTCTTACCGCCTAAGTCCTCTGCATACCAGTTATGGCCAGGCTTTATGTGGGAAATGCCACAAGCCCAGAAGAGCTTGCATTTGTTTCAGGAGTTAGGTTTTCTTCTGTTTTCTTCCTAATATTTTATGTCAACCAGAAATATTTTTGTAGAGTATTTATTTCATACTGAAGATTTTCAGTTCTTCCTTGTGCTGAATGCACAGCGTGGTTCTGGTCTGATCTTTTCAGACACATGAATAACTATCCCATTTCATGCTGTCATTGCAATTATTTATCTGGACCAGGGCTTTCCAAATAGAAGGGTCATTATTTCTTTTGTCAGAGATGCATTGGAAAGCAACTGTTCACATGTGCGATGGGGGAAAATACAGTATTCCAACCTCTCCATTACGTTATGGCAGAGTACACATTAAAAAAATTAAACTACAGACATAGACTCTGAAATGTTCTGTTGCTCAGATATACTTGAGAGTGCGCAGAAAATGCACCAACCTGTCCAGTGCAGTCAAGCATCACTGATACAAAACAAAATTTAAGCATAGGTTTTGGACCTGTGTTTTAGTTTGGGATTTCAGCTATATGTCACGCACCTCTTCTCAGCAGCAGTATCACCAGCCCAAGTAAGAGACTTTGAAATTAACTACCAAAAAACTCAAGAGCCTTCACATCCTTCCGTACAACAACCTTCAACTCTTATCGGTGTTCCTGGCTTCAAATCCGCCAGCTCAGCTTTTTGTTTAGAATACTGATGGCACGTACTGCTAAACACTAAATTAATGCTACGTCTGGATCCGTGCCATCTGCACAGGCAAGAGCTGTAACTGTGCAGTAAAATGGATCAAAAGCCTTGAATTAAGTCCTTGTTTAATGCAGAGGTAATCTTGTGCTGCTAAGCCCAACCAAAACAGTCCTTAGCCAGAAGACACAGGGGTTGTCTACACTGTGTGTTTAATGACCCTGACACAGTTATGTCCTCAACTTATGGTCTCCAGACTCTCTGGGTCAGACAAAAGCCAATACAGCCACATACGTGGCTCATTTTACAGGACTGCAAGGGGAAGTGTTATTAGAGGCCACCTCCTAGTCGTCCAAGGCCAAAATGTGCTGGTCTTCTTGCCGCCTGATATGGACCTGAGCGTGACAGCAACTGATAAGCAAAAGTGCGGGGCTCAGGCTATGCTCGCAGCACGGATATAATCATGGGCCTCTGAACAAAAGGGCATGGAAGAAGCATTTCTTACCACGCTTTCTTCCTTGAAGAGTGGCAATCGCAGTCCCCCAATAATGGAAAGGGGAAAGATGATAGTTTGATTATGCATTTTCTTACACTTTTCTGCCAGTACACAAAGCTTAGTAAAAAGTTCAGGAAGAGAAAGCCTCCACCCCAGCACATGTAACATGTAGCTCTGATGTACCCTGAATATTTGAGAATACAGCAGGCAAGAGGAATGAAACCTGCACAAGACGGGCAGGGTGCAGCGGCAGCTCCTGGAGCAGGGCACGGGCCCCTCCGCGCCTGGAGCTGAGCATCTCAGCCGTTCACGCGTGCACTGAGCGGCAGCCCACAGGGCGCTACCGCAGGTTTGCAGAGAGCTGCTTGGTCACATGGTCTTTTTGAACTGCTACATCCATTAAATGAAGCAATTTCACTTTCTTTCCCTGGATCCTCATCCGCTATCATTCCCTGAGGACGTTTACCGAATCAGTAATGAGTTGGGCCACGGTCCGCATGCAAAGAGTTAGGTATGGGGGGAAGAAAAAGCAAAAATATGACCCCCTACCAACAACCCCCTCCCGCCCTCCATAACCTCTACCCTTGCACCAGGCAGGATACCCACTACAGGCAAAGACAAGTCTTCCAAACCAGTACAGAAGGACTCCCTGGTCTCAGAGCCACATGAATTAGCACACGCTGACTCTGCCTGCCCTGTAATTTAATGCCCTGGAGGAAAGCGATGCTGAAGGTGCTTTTAATAAGAAAGGTTATTAAAGAAAGTGGGAGACACAGATGTTTTCCACTCAGAACGGCACTGAAATAGCTGGAGCGTAAGTGGAGCAGAGCAAGCTCCGACTGAGGTGCTTGGCGACGCTTTGCATGCTGAGGTTTGCAATTCCAGCTCCCACTCTCACCTTCAACCACCAAATTATGCTCAGCTGCTACGAGAGGAAGCTGCAGTACTCTGTGGCTTTCAGGGCAGCGTTTTCCACAAAACAGGAATTCATAACAAAGAAGTTTATTCTGATGTCAGCTTTTTTGTCTTTTATCACATTTGCTGAAGCTGTTTGCATGAATAGTAGCTCTTATCCTCTCCAGTAAAATTTAGAAGGATCAGGAGGGAAGAGATGTAGCAACAGGAAGGAACAATATGTAGCATCTCTTCCCTTCCCTTCCCTTCCTACTCTTTTTCCACTGACTTTGTTTCAGAAGAAATATTCCAGCCAGCTCTGCTTCATAGTAACATTTGGCACCTTTCTTCCAGATGGGAAGGAAATCTCTAACTTCGTTGCTGGCACGAGCCTTGCTTTCTGACTGATGTCTAGTGGTCCAGGCTATGGGAAGTTGCACAGATGGAGTCACTGAAACTTGCATCTCTTCCTTCCTCTGCTGGTGCAGCATCCGTTAATTCGTGGGTGGAGGAAGCTCCTTGCTGACACTTAGCCAAGAACCTGGTACCTGAATTTTCCTAGTTCTTTAAAGCCTAGAGGTAGGTTTGAGAATAACCTCCCTTGCCTCTGGTCTGCCAAGGAACCAGCCCGCACGAGGTGCAGATGAAGAAAGAGGGAAAGGGAGAGAATCGATAAGGGATTTAGCTTCACGTTTTAGGCTAATGACGGGCCACAGTCTACCCCACAGATGCCCTTTATTGGTATCCTCCTTCATCTTGCTTATGCCTAAAATACGCAGAATTTCCTTTTTGCTGTAAAAATGTTTCCATGTTGGGGCCAGCTTAGCACTTTGCTAGTGTAAAACAAAGTCTTCTCAAACTTTATCTGTTTCAAGGACGTATTTATAAATATGGGTTTGGCACATGCAAGCGATGGCAAGAAAACAAAACTGGCCATATTCTGAAGTGCAGTATGTGACTCCATGAGTTGTTACACACGTCCTACCCAGCCTAACCGGTGACCGCTCTCTGCTAAAGCCCCTCTCTCTGCTTATCCACTTAACAAAAACATTCCCTTTGCTACAGAAGGGACGATAGGAACTGTTCCTAAAGAGGGTACCACTTCAGACAAAACATTAAGAATCAACTCAGATAAAATAAGAGATTGACTCTTTAAAAACACGGAGAGAAAATAAATGGGGAAGGTTGCTTTGCAAGCCTCAGACATCTGGGGATGCTGGTTCAGTTATCTCAGCCACAAGAGGAGACAGAGAACAAAGGCACTCAGATATTTAAGCTGTTGACCTCCAGGGAAACTACTAATCCTTTAGAAATTGTTGGCATGAACTTCAGAAGTGCTGACATTTTGAAATCTCCCTGAAGACCACTAGGAATTGAGGTGCTCAGCACCCCTGGGCAAAGGAACAAACAAGAGGTTTCCCTCCTCAAAATGAACCTGTGTAGCAGAGCTGAGGACAAGCCCTGGGCTTCCCCCTATGCCTGGTAATTGTTTTTTTTTTTTCCCTTATATTCCACATTAAAAAGGGTTGGGTGGGAGAAGAGTTCTTGTGGTACAGGTCATCAGCTCTCCTGCCATTATCTACTTGAATTTAAGTAGGATGCCATTCTATTTTGAAAATTTCCCCTGCAAAGGTCTAAAGAATAGCTGCAAACTAGTAGTTATGTTAGCATTGACAAGACCCCATTGCAAATGTCTTGGCAGAACAGTTTAATCCCTATGATTTAGTGACTGCTTCCCAGGGCTAGAATATAGTTTGCTCCTAAGATCTCTATTCACTGATCAGAAGATCAGTCCTGCCCTCATGTAAGTCAGTGGAAGTCCTCCCCTCAAACTCAATAAAATACAGCCAAGCCCCAGGACTGGAAAGACCATTATGGACCAGTAAGACCCTCACAGTCATTTGCGTTTAAACTCATGCAGGGCTCTTTGATTGGAGTGCCCCTGGGATTCGCCCCACCTTGGGAAGATGCACAGTTCCTCACAATACAGATATCTAAGTCTAAAAATACAGAAGATTAACCATAATACTTGACTACAGAGTAAGTGAGTTAGGAAGGCTTTGTCAGTTATAGACTGGTATTAGTTACAAATGCTTCACATCTCATGTCACTTCATGACATTATTAAATATCAGGCAAGATAGGGGGAAAAGCTATACATTACCCCCCAGAAGTTATTTTGAGAGAAATCAAAACATCTCAAAAATTAGGATCAGATTAAGTTCAATATTTCTCCATGCATTTTCATTTCCCCCCCGCTCAGGCTTTGTTTCTCCTGTTAATGATGTTCTACAACTGACAGCTTAACAATCAGCTGCCACGTTTAAACCTAGAACCACAACTGCCGTGGTTGTGCACTGCCACATATACAATTGTTTTCAGCGCCGTATTGTTCAAGCAAATCTTCTGCACAACCGCTCTGCTCTAAGGTTTCATGTTCTTAAAAATCAGAGCCAGCAGTTACATTAGTACTGTGAATATAATTTACAGGAGGAGAATTTCCTTGCATAACAATCAGTATGACTAATTTTTTTAGCCACAAAAATCGGAGCATTTTTTGCTCTGCAGTAAGATATGCTTTCAAACTGCGGTGCTAAACAATGGGACCTTTGCTAAGCAAGCGTTTTATCTGGTTTATACGCAGACTGAGAAGCAATGTGGAAAGGGGGGAAAAACCCCAACGGAGCTTAAGTCCTGGGGTGAAACAAAGGACTGATGGAGCTACGGACTTTGGCTGCCACGGGAGCGAGTTGCACTCTGCGGCGGCAGCAAAACCCGATCATGCAGGACAGGGCGAGACACGGGGGAGCAGCAGGACGTGCTCCGCTTCAGGCAAGTTTTCTCCAGCTCTTTCCCCCCTTGTCTCAGGCCGCGAGAAACACGGTCCGTTTCACGTCCAGGAGCGCTCACGGCGGGGCTCACCTGTGCACTTCCTCGTAAAGGTTTCGTAGTCTACGCCTTGGTCTCCGGGGACGATTGTGGAGCCATCGTACTTAAAGGTCACCCTTTAGGAGGAGGAGAAGAGGAGAAGGGGAATATATTTAAAATTCACCCTTTAGGAGGGGGGAAAGAGGAGAAGAGGCTTGATGTATTTGAAAGCCACCTTTGGGGAAGGGAAAAGAGGAGAAGAGGATTAATGTATTTCAGTCACCCTTTAGGAAGGGAAAAGAGAAGGGGACTGGAGTATTCAAAAGTCATCGTTTGGGAAGGAAAAGAGGAGAAGGGGATTGATGCATGTAAAAGACACCCCTTGGGAAGGAAAAGGAGGAGAAAGGGATTGATGTATTTAAGTCACCCTTTAGGAAGGTAAAAGAGGAGAAGGGGGTTGATGCATTTAAAAGTCATCCCTTGGCAAGGGAAGGGCAGGGAGGGGAGGGAGGAGGCAACAAAGCGCTAGCGCTCGTCCCGGCGGG